CTGGGGCAGTATCACACTGGCGACACCTTTAGCGTTTCACCTCCCAAGCCTAGGCCACCTTCAAGCAGATGGAAACTGAGGCAGGGCCACGGTGTCCGGGCCGGCGTTTGGCAGGGTCACTTCTGCTTCGGGGAAGGTGGGCAGGGCTCAGTCCTATCACTTCGTTAGGATGAATAAATCCCAGATAAGAAGGGTCCTTCCGCGATGGGGAGAAGACCCAGGTATCTGAGTCCCCAGAGGGCACGAATAGCTGAGCTAGTGCCTTTCTGTCCAGATTCAGCCACCGACCTGCCACGTGACCTTGGGTTAGGCGCCATTGGATCTCAGTTTCCCCTCTAACAGGTTTGTGGATATCTGCTGGGAGAAGCAAACAGGAGCAGGAATGGGGAAAGAACTTTGTACGTGGGGGCTGAAGCTCCTCTAGGGGTCCACCAGGGTTTGCGGGTTCAGCGCTGTGGTATTTGTTATGCAAGGAACCAACCAAGCCAGATCCCCACCCCGTCCGGACGCCATCCGCCCCTTTGCATTAGCCTCTCCATTGCCCCAGCGAGATGGAAGAGGGGGGCCCCGTGGCCCAGGAGAGCAGGCAGAACAGACTCGGCCGAGGGGCAGCGTGGGGTGCGGGGAGGAGCACTGCGCCAGGAGTCAAGCCTCCTGAGTTCTAGTGCAGGCTCTCTCTGTCGCACAAGGGGACCTCAGGCGAAGCCCCCCAGGTGGAGACTGGATTCTGTGATTTCCAAGCACCAGCTCCTAACGCTAATGACTCCAGACCAGGGAAGGGGAGGCCCCCTTTCCACCCCAAATTTGGAGAGAGGTGGATGGGGACCGGGTGCCCTCGCAGTGCAGAGCCGGGCGAAGGGATCTGAAGGGTTTGGGGAAAGTGAACGAGCGCGGCAGGGGAGGCGGGGTCAGGGCAGTTGGCACAGGGCTGTACGACTGAGTTCTCCTCCTCTGAGCTCCTGTTTTCCATTTGGGGAGCTGGAATCCCAGAGAGGTCGAGGATTTGTTCCCATCGTATTTACACCTAGGCACTTCTGCTTGTAGGAGACAGAGGTTTCTCGTGCCCTCATGCAGTTTCGCTAAGACCACGGTCTGACTCAGTACCAGGATGGCATGTTTGGCACCTCCTCAGTTAGGCCCCCCCCAACTTGTCTCTAAGATGGCTCTTCCAGGAATGGAGCCAGGTGACACCCTTCTTTTTTTTCTGTTTTGGCAGCTGGTTGATACAGGGACAGGTAATACCCTTTAACAGGCCCCAAGGGGGCAGGAATAGCATCAGCTTCCAGAAAGGGGGGCCTTAAAGGGCGAGACTTGAAATAAGGTCTGCTCTTTCTGTCCAGATGCCCTTCAGGCTCCCATCCCTCTGTCCCTACCCAGCTGCAAATGGCCCGGCTGCTGCTCTGCTGCTCCCCAGCAGAGTTAACTGCAGACTAACTTGTCAGTGTGTGAAGTGGACATCATCACCTCCCAGAAGGGCTGTGGTGAGGTTAACACAGGGCAGAGGTCTGTCTTCTCCCATGTCATGGAAAGTGTTTTGTTCTTTTAAATCGCACCTAGAAATGGGCACTGCCTTTGCTGATGGAGCCAGGAGCTAATTTATTTATTTATTTATTTCTTAAAAGATGACCGGTAAGGGGATCTTAACCCATGGCCTTGGTGTTATCTGCACCACACTCCTCCGAGTGAGCTACGGGGCCGGCCCCCCAGGAGCTAATTTAAAGTCGTCATTTTACAGAGCGGAGAGGAGACTTCTCAAGGTCACATGCCAGCAAAGGGCAGAATCAGGTCCCACGCTTGTTTATGCCCCTCCCACAGTGGTCTGGGCAGGGTATGGGGATAGCTGGCCTCTGGCCCCTGTCTGCTGTGTGACCTAGAACAACTCTGTCCCCTTTCTGGGACAGTTTCCTTAGTCCCTCCATGTCAGGGTTTGAGAATGGGGCGAAGAGGGAGGATGATAACGTCATAGACCAGATATCTGGTCTAATCCTATGAGTCCTGAGAATGGGGTACACTGCTTTGCCAGGCTGAGTCCCAGGGGCCCTCACCTGACCCTCCCCCATCAGTCCTTCCTCTCCCAGGGTACCAAACTTGTCAGCTAGTTTCTCAGCTAACAGCCAGGCCTTCCTGAACTCATTCTTAGCTGGGGAAGGAAGGTCCAGGAGGAGGTTTCAGAGCCCCTGAGAAAGCTTGTGGACCAGTGGGGGACCTGGGCATTCTCTGGCCACCTCAGGGAGGACCTTATGATGTCGCTCAGGTCATTTGGGGTGTAGAGGCCCAGAGAGGACAGGGACTTCCTGGAGGTGACACAGTTAGGGAGCTCAGGCCGCAGCGCTGGGCTGCAGCCAGGAGTGTTTTCTGGGTTGCACAGGAGGGGGCACCTGGCCCAGAGAAGCTTTTAGCTAATGGTGTAAAGTGCTCTGTGCCATCACAGTTTTTCCTCTCTCTGGGATTTATTGGTAATCAGCTTTGTCCCGATTTGGAGGTGGGCTGGGTGGGTAGAGAATTAGAGATGTCACTTGCTGGAGAAGGTGGTGTATGTGCGTATGTGTGGGGTAAATGGAGATTGATCCTGGTGTCTCAGACAGCTCTGTCCCCTCCCGCCACTTCCAGATGTCCCACTGCTCCTCACCAAGGGCCTTGGCCAGGACACACAGTGTTTGGTGATTTGAATCCCAGCTCCTGGTTAGTACTACTCCTCAGCCAACTAACAATAGTCACCTTCTCACCCATGCCTAGAGAACCCCCTCTAGAAGCTCCCCAGTCTGGCTCCGTTTTCTCCTCAGTCAACAAACACTGATATCAACTCAGTCCAGGGGCTCAGGAAGCAGAGCTGAGTCAGAGGGTCTCTGCTTTCAAAGGCTTATGTCTCCCAGCCCTCCTCCAGGCAGCCTTCCCTGGCTGTCACTATTCCTGGGGACTGGAAATTTCGTGTTGTTGGAGGGCTATTTTTGGGCATTCACTAATAACTCTAGCCTCTGGGCAGGAGGCTGACATCCCCCCACCCCCCAGTGATTTTCTGAACAGTTTCTTGATGGCCCCCAGCCCTGAGGACTGGACTGAGTACAGGGATCTTGGGGGACCTGTGCATTGAAGACATTGGTGGCCACCAGTGAATCTGGGATCTCAGCAAAGAGAAATGAGGGGAACAGGCTGATGCCTGGGGCTGGAGCTGGAAGACTAGTTCAGTTCTAGTCTACCTTTCACCTGGATAAGCCCTTTCCCTTTTGGCTGAGACATTGGTGGCCACCAGTGAATCTGGGATCTCAGCAAAGAGAAATGAGGGGAACAGGCTGGTGCCTGGGGCTGGAGCTGGAAGACTAGTTCAGTTCTAGTCTGCCTTTCACCTGGATAAGCCCTTTCCCTTTTGGCTGGCCCCAGCCGTATGTGGGCAGTGCCACCAGAGGGCACTGTGGGGCTGCTTTGCGAGGCATAGGGGTGTGGCCTGGAAGGTTGGGTCCCCAGTATCCCTGCCCCCAAGAGTTCCCTTCCTGGTCATCCCAAAGCTTCCTTGGCCTTGAGCTGTAAGGGTCTAGCGGTCAGCGAGGGTGGGATTGTGGTTCTGGTGATGGCTTACTGGGAGGTGCGGGGTTGGAGGCCCGAGTTGTGCCCATCACTGGTTCCTGGGGGTCGGGAGCTGCTTGAAAAGGGCACAGGGCTTCAGGGGCAAGGTCCATCAAGAAGGACTTTCTGGAAAGAGAGGTTGCCTTGTTGGTGGCCACTCCCTGAGTAAAAGCTTGGAGTCATTTCACTATTCACAGGTTTGTTACTGATAATTGATCAGAACACCTTCTCCCGCCACCACCTGACCACCAAAGTGGACTCCCAGAGATTAGGCTGAATCGACAGGTCGCAGCTAAGTGTTCCAAGCCTGCAGAGGGCATGTCTGGGAGGATCCCCTTCCCTGACCCTGACGCCGGGTCGCTGGAGAACACCTCAGGTGCTCAGGCTTCTCAGAGCTGGAGAGGCGCCCTGCTTTATGACCAGTGGCGGAGAAGGCATTTGGGAAAGCTTGGAGATCCCCAACCTCTTTCTTCCCACATTAATCCTAGACCGCATCCTGGCCAGGAGGGATGGGGGAAGGGAACCCTTGGTTCTGGAATAATATAGTAACCACCTTCTGTATGCCAGCCAAAGCGCTAAGCACTTTACACCCATTATCTGTTCCAGTGCTCCCAACCGCTCTGCAAAGTAAGAGGTTTTATCCCCCTTTTCACTGATGAGGAAACTGAGGGTCAGGGAGGGCAGGTGACTTGCCCAAAGACATAGAACCTGTAAGTAGGGGATCCCTTAAACATTAGGCTATGTGGCATTTCTTTCATCAGGCTAATGAGGGCTCCATTTGGGGGAATTTCTGGGCTCTCACTTCTAAGGCTGTGAATAGTGACCTCCCGGTCCTTGGTTCTGGGGAGAAATGCTGTGAGATGCTGAAGGGCTGGCAGAAGTTGCCCCTCTTCCCCCACTCCCAAAATCTGGGCACACCTCAGCCTGGTCATCTGGCCCTGGGGGGTGAGTCAGGCTGAGTCAGCACACCTGGCTTCTGGTGAGGGTGGGCCAAGGATGCTCGGGGCCCCAGGTGGGGCTGGGGCTTGCCTTGGAGGGCTGCCTCCTCTCCCTGCGGATCTGGGTTGGAACTTTTGGTGCCAAGGAGATCAGAGAGCCTGGGATGGCAGAGGAGGAGGTGACATGCTCTATGGTGGGGCAGAAAGGGCCCCAGGTGCAACAAGACAGACCTGGGATTTAGTCCTGGCCTGGAACTTCTCAGCTGGGACGACTTCTCTTTTCTGAGCCAGTTTCTTCTGTTTGTTTTTGTTTTGTATTTTGGGGCAGTACTAGGGAGGAAATAACTTCTGAGTGTTAAATGAGAAGTCACACTAAGTACCCAGCACATAGTGGAGATCTGTAAATGATGGAGCCAACCTGCTTAGGCCGGGAGAGGTTGCCAGGACAGAACCCCCAGACAGCCTGGGCCTTCGCTTCTCTAGAGCATCTCCATATCAGGAATCCCTGGACTGGGCCCTGGGGAACTCCATAAGGGGAGAGGTGGAGGAGGGAGCAGGCTTTTCATTCCAGGAACATTCCATTCCAGCTGCTCAGACCAGTGGGGATCCCAGCCAAGGACAAAGGCTCAAGGGAACCTCTGCTTCCCACAGGAGCCCACGCCCCTTGCAGGGCTGGAGCCCCAGGAGCCCTGTTCAGTAACATTCTCCTGCACCTCTATCCACAGTGGCCCTTCTTGAGGTAGATGTTGAAGGGTTTGGGTGGGGCTGGGTGGCTGTGGTGGGAAAGAGGTAATTAAAGCTCTTGGAATTATTCTTTCCAGCTCCTCCCAAATCCTCTGGGCCTCTGCTATAAGGATCTGGACTCCTGGATTCTGCTCCTTCTCTGGGTACCTCCTTCAGGAAGACTTTGAGAATTGACCCCACACGACCTCAGCGCCTTCCTCACAGGATCCCTTCACTTCACAGTGGCAAGGGGCTGGGCTCCGGGGAACTTGCTGGTACTAATTTCATATTTGTGCCACTTTGACTTTGGCTTTCACTGTACAGCTGGAGATGTTACTACAGGCCCTGAGATGCAATCAGATTATTTAAGAAAGCAGCAAACATTTCCAGTGTAAAAATGGAAAGGATTTCTTGTAAAGATATAGTCATTATTCTTAAGTCACGGTGCAGCTGGGGTCCCCATTTTGGGAGATGTCATTTCTTCGAAGCACCAGGAGGCCTGTTTGAGGGGAAAGGTTGGTCTGAGAAATCCCTGTTTCCCTCATCCACTGTCCTTGTTCTCCCCTTGTGGGAGGTGCCTGTGGCCCCTCAGAAAGACAATCAGCTGCTGGCTCCTGGGGGGACACACCTTTCTCAGGAGGAGGTGGTAGGAACATAAAACTTCTAAGCAAGGTTTTAAATGAAAAAAGGAAACATTTATTGACTATCTTGATAATAGAGGGAGGGAGAGCACATTTATTCAACACAACTCAGAACTGGTGGAATTCTGCAGAATGAATGCATACTGAATCAGTCCCCTGATTTATACATTCAGGAAGAATAAATTCCAATAATGTGAGGCAAACGTGTGTGGTTTTGAGGTTTACTTTGCAAGTGTCCTTGCCTCCTTTCCTTTGTGTGTTTCTGTCATGGCTCTTTAAGTTGGCAGTTCCTTGAGCAGCTTCTGTTTAGTTTCGTTTGGCAATCTGGGCCTGTTGCTGATTTGCAGACTTATTTCTCCCTTGGCCTGGCTCACAGCTGACCATCCCCAGGATGTCTTTCCCATTAAGGGACGCGATGAGGAAGCCGGGGTGGGGAATGCACGTGGGAGACCCTGTGACACTGAGGGAGGCTGTGCATGCCTGTGAGAACATGGCAGTGTGGTGGCCTGTGAGGTTGTGTGTGACTGTGTTGGTGACCATGTGGGCCAGCTGTCACTCAGGGTCCCAGCAGGAGACAGAGCACACTCAAACTGGGAAGAGTTTTTTGTTTTTGTTTTTTTTAAAAAGATGACCGGTAAGGGGACATTAACCCTTGACTTGGTGTTGTCAGCACCACGCTCTCCCAAGTGAGCCACAGGCTGGCCCTGGGAAGAGTTTTAAAAAAGGATTATTTCCAAAGGCGAGGGCTGCACTTAAGAAACAAGCAAAGGACGGAGCAGCTCTCAGGGGCCATTACAAGCTCTGGGGCCTGGAGGGGCTAAGGGAGGCAGCTGTGTGGAGAGGGCCTCTGACAGGAGCAGGCAGTGGCCTTTGGTGGAGGGATGTGGCCAACCATGACAGCCTCCTGGGGAGGGAACAAGGGAGCAATTGATGGTAGTCCACAGATGTCAGCCTCCGCAGGTCACGGAGCAGGGAGAAGGTGGAGCATGGATCGGAGCATTTCATGTAACTTCCTTGGGGTGTATCTTCCATTCCCCAAAGTCCACAGCAATGCTTCTTCCCCTCCTCAACTCTCCCACCCACCGGGCCGGAAGGGGCAGGTGGATAGTTGCTTGGGGAGCACAGTGGGGTGGGAAGGTGGAGGACAGGGCTTTCCTCCCTCAGCCCTCCCCTCGCTGACTCTGATTCCTGCCTGTCCTGGCATCTTAGATGGCTGCAGGAATTGTCCATCATGAGGAAAAATGTCAGCCACTGAGTCAGTGTTTTTCTCACACCCGGAAAAACTACACCACTCCCAAACACACCCACAGGTACATTGGTGCCAACATGGGCCCCTTACAGTCACAAGCCATGGCTAGTGTCACATGTACATCAAGAAAATGTACATCTTGGCACACTGCTACACTGCCATTTATGTCATACATAAAATCACAAATATCATAGCAATGCCAAACATGCCCTGTCGCATACATGTACAGGAGACATACAGTTATGATCATCCACGTGAAATCACAGTATAGGGGAAGGATGGTGCAGGGGTTAACAGCAATGACTCTGGAGTCAGACAAACTTCTTTGACCTCTCTGGCCTCAGTTTCCTTGTCTGTAAAATGGAAACAATACTTATTCTTCTCTCATGGAATTGTTGCAAGGATGAAATGAGAGATAATTAGCATAGTGCCCGGCCTGGAAAAAGCATGCCAGAAATGGCAGCGGTTACTGTGAACTCCTGTCTCACGCCCCACTTCCCCACGCCTATGCATGTACGTGTACTGGCACCAGCGAGCACATGCACCAGCTCAAGGCCAGCCAGACACCGAGTGCATGCGAGCTTCCTCAGACACGCCTGCCAGAGCACGTGTACATTCACAGACAAGTTTCCCTGGCCGGAACGCTCTTTCCCCAGCTTGCGTCACACCATCTTTGTCTTTGTTCAGTCAAATGTCACCTGTCAATGACATGCACCTGATTTTTTTCAATTTGCAAACCTTAGCTCTTCCAATCCCTTACCCTGCTATATATATTTTTATGCATTGCTGACCTAAGAGCATGTAATTTATTTTCTATCTAGCCTATTAGAATGTACTCTTCACAAGGGTAGGGATCTTTGTCTTTTGTTTGCTGATGTATTCCCAACACCTAGAATGGTATCTGGCCCCTGATGGGCTAAGTGCAGGGTATACACATGTGTACCATATGAGTTTCTGGCTTTCTCACACTCTAAGACAAGCCCATCCTGGTTAGCCCCTCTCTCAACCCCAATAATCTCAGCCTGCTGTGTTTATACTATGGGCATCCCCCTCATGTCCAGGCTCAAGGGCCAAAACAGGAGGTGGGACAAACTTAGTCCCTCCCATGACCCTAGTTAGGCGGACACAGCTAAGATGAGGGAGGGGAGCTGTTTTCAGTCACCAAGCAAAGAGGCTGCCCTTCCTGCTATCTTGAGCCTGGCAGCAGAAGGGGCTGGGATACCCACCAAAGACCCATAGAGTGGGTGAGGTGGTTGGACTCACCCTGGTGACCTGGGACCTCCTCTGCGGCCTTGTTTTTTCCACCCTGGCTGGAACCATCAAAGTCACCACTTCAGAGGCCCCTAATGAGGCTAAATGTGTTAAGGACTTTGCAATCCCTGGATCAAAGAGTCTGGGTAAACAGTGGGAAGCGTCCTGGCCCATGACTGGCTAATGCCCTGGGGGAAGAGCTTCGTGGGTGCTTGTGGCTGACACTCCCAGCTTGGCATGGTCCCAACTGGGTTTGGAAAGGAAAGACCCTGCCCCTCCCCTCCAGGGGACCTGCTTAGAGTGAGCCAGAGCATACCCATCAGCACATGGGGCTGAAGGAGGGAGCCAGAGAATGGAGGAGGCTTCTCCCAGGTAAGGCCCCACCTGGGCTCTGGCTCTGGGGAAGCCTAGAAGTTCCCTAGCCTTGGCTGCCATTACTGGAAGGACCTCTAGTCCAGATTCACCCAGCTTGTTCCCCACCTGCTCCCTGGAAGAGATGGGGTGGGCAGAGCTGGGGTCAAGCAGCCCCGAACACTGGAGTATGAGGCTGGGTCCCAGGTAAGGCCCCACCTGGGCTCTGGCTCTGGGGAAGCCTAGAAGTTCCCTAGCCTTGGCGGCCATTACTGGAAGGACCTCTAGTCCAGATTCACCCAGCTTGTTCCCCACCTGCTCCCTGGAAGAGATGGGATGGGCAGAGCTGGGGTCAAGCAGCCCCGAACACTGGAGTATGAGGCTGGGGCTATTAGGATTCCAGGTAGAAAACACTGAAATGTTTACTCTTTAATAAGAGAATCCTAAGACTTGCTGAGGCAATGTGCAGGTGCAGGTCACACATGCAGACATGAGCTCCCAGTGTACAGTTGTCAGGCTGGGGCTGGTGTTGAGGGGAGGGGCAGTCCCCCAGCCAAGCCCAGGTTTCACACACCTCCAGTGTCCCATCTCATACTACAAGCTGGACTCAATGAGGGGAGGCAGCCGCAGTCCCCGCAGCCACGGGAGGTCCTTCTCCCAGGAGAAAGCATGGCACTAGACTCAGTGTAGACAATCTTTATTGGCAGGTGTTAAGAGTGCAAAATAGCAACAAATCCAGAGGGATGAGGAAGGAGATGGGGACATGGCTCCCCTCCCCCATGTGAGAGCCCTGTAACCAAGCCAGTGGGGTGGGAGCACTGGGCTAGGCTGTGGCAAGTTTGGACTCAGCACCTTTCAAAGAACAAGCTCCCAGGCAGGAGGGCTCCTCACTATATGAGGGAAAGGAGTGACATGCTGGAAGGGGCATGGGATGCGTCCCACCCCGACTGTTTGGCTCCTGTCCAGCACACCTCAGCCCCTCAAGAGGAAGGTTTCACAGCTTGGGATATGAATTTCAGGAGACTAGGCTATACCCATTCCTCCCCAAACCCAAGTATCTGCTGCATGCCTCAGTTTCCCCCTCCAAGTGATTAGTTGGGTTGGCCCACCAGGCCTTGTTAGTGGCCCAGCCCAACCCAAAGTGAGTAATCCCCAAACATACCATAATTTAGTCAGTGTGTGAGCTGTAGGCCCTCAGAGGCTGCTAAATCACTGTAGGCTGGCCCTAGTAAAAAAGACCCCTTCGGGGCCATGGAAATCAACCCAAGGAGCTGGGCACTGAGGCTACCATCCAAAATTTGTTTTGTCTCTTGAAGGCAGTCGACCCCCAAGAAAAATGGCCCCTGCACCCCACAATCATGCTGGTCCAGAAGTGTGGTGCGATACCAAAGGGTCCTCCTGCCAAGAACCCCAGTTTGGTCTTAAGCCCCACAGCAGCCTCACTTGGGGAAGTCTGGACTGTTCAATCACAGGCCCAACCCTGCAGCAGGGCTGGGCCATCTGGCACAGGCTGCCTGTCTCTCTCTGGTCATGTCCTCCACATACGCTTAGAGACCCCATCCTATCCTTTGAGGCCATGTTCCTTTTGGCCAGGGTCTGAGTCAGTTACAAGGCAGCCAGGTGGGATAGGAGTGGGCCCGAGCCAGCAGAGGCTGCACAGGGGTCACATAGTAATTGACAGTGGCCGGCACAACCCCATCGGGGCCTGGAGGGTGCCAGGCCAGGGCAGCAGTGGCAGCTGGGCCTTGCTCAGCCAGCGCCTGGAGCGCCAGTGTGGCGATGAGGTCCAGCGTCTGGCGGCGCTCATGGTTCATGAGGCACACGGTGCTCTCGTTGACCACGCGGTGCAGCGTCACCAGGCAGGCATAACGGCGGGCTGCGTCAGCTCCACCAAAGTGGGCCTCCAGGTAGCGCTCCAGAGTGCGCTGCTGCTCCGCCAGGTCTGGAAAGTCGATGAAGAAGCGGGAGCACATGTAACGTTGCAGGGCGCGCACGTCAGTGCTGGGCCGCGGCCGGAAGCCCCGCACCAGAAGGTGGCAGTACTTGAGGAGGCCACCACCACGGATCTCCTCAGGGTTGCGTGTGGCGATGACACGGTGCCGCAGGTGCTCCAAGGCCTCGGCGAAGTCCCCGTACAGGCTCTCACCTGTCACTGTTGGGTGGAAGGCCTCAGACATGGGCGTGGATGAGCACTGGCCAAAGAGCAGCAGGGAGTCCAGGATGATCTGGAAGGAGTCTACGCTGAACTCGAACTGGCGCCTCACTGAGTCCACAAACTTGAGCTCTACATTTTTGCCACTCTTGTTGGACAGTGAGATGAGGCTCCAGCGGTCTGTGTCTGTGCACACTTTCACCAGCTTCTGCACGTACGCCTCCTTCAGTGTCACTGGTGTGATCTTGGCCCGGCTCACACCAGCCGGCAAGAAGTCCAGCAGGCAGGCCAGCACCACTGCCTTGGTCAGCTGGAAGGATGCCTCGCTGCGCAGGTCCATCTGGAACACCAGGTCCAGGTCCTTGTAGCCCAGGCCACTCTCAGGGTGCAGCACATGGCTGGCAGCCGAGCCATGCAGCCGCACACTGTGCACATGTAGTCCCTGTTCCTCCAGGCTGCTGCGGACCACCTGCAGAGGGGAGGGCAGGACAGGTGTCAGGAGCCTGGGCTCCCAGGGTTCCCTAAGGACTTCCATGTAATCATTACAGTAACATCAACCACTGCTGACCACTTACCAGCCTTTGGAAAGCCATTTAACTCTCTAAGCCTTGATTTCTTTATCTGAAGAAGGACTGCAGGAATGACACCGAAAGAACAGCAATAATAGCAGCCAACACATGCATACCATTAACTGAGCACAAGGTCCTGATTTAAGCACTTTAGACATTAAGATATAAACTCACTTAATCCTCACAATAACCCTATGAAATAGGTACTTTTATTCCCACTTTACAGATGGTGAAATGGAAGTACAGAAGGGCCAAGTAACTGGCCCAAAGTCACACAGCTGGTGAATGCAGAGCTGGGAATTAAACCAAGATGGAGTCCATGTCTTAGCCACTAAGCTATCCTACCTTTCTAAAGTGCAAGTAAAACACTTTTGTGCCGGGCACTGTGGTAACTCTTCAGACATGTTGGAAATATAGTTAGCAGTTCACATTCACTACCATACTAACTTTCACAATAATACGTTTTGAGTAATATTATTCCAATTGATAGCGGAGGACCTGAGGCACAGAGAGGGTAAGAAACATGTCCAAGGTCATAGAGTAGCCAGGCTGAGACAAGAACCCAGGTTAGTTGGAATCTCAAGTTCACACATGTTGACTATCATGCACTCATCCTAATTCATTTTTACAAGGATCCAATGAGGCAAATATTACACTCATTTTGTAGATGAGGAAAAGGAGGCTTACGGTGGGAAAACTACTAAGGCTCAGCAATGTCAGGACTAGAAGTTATAAGCTGGGCCCTTTCCACTGAGTCAAGAATGCAGAAAGCCTCCCACACCAAATGGAAAGAGATGGAGGACCCCCAGGCCTGATGGCAGAGACACACGACAAGTCAGTCTACAGGTCTTCTTGACCCTATTCCTTTAGCAAGAGGCATCTCCCTGGGCTGAGGCACCGGGTGGGGAGAAGAGTGACGCTGGGGTCTGATGTTCAGTTTCCTCAGCAACCCAAGTACTTCACACACTGTCCTGCAGGTGACCAGGCAGCATTCTTGCCCTGAGTGATTCTGCAACCCCGCCTTGCTGCCAAGTCAGCACCCAGCACCAGGCTGGGCTGTCCTTGCCTCCCAGGGAATTACTGCAAAGAATGCACCTAAGTGCTGAGGAGGCAAGCCACAGTGGGGCAATCTGAGGCGGGCGGCTCCCTCCAGGAAGACTTCCGGGAGGAGGACATTTACCAGGGGAAGATATTGTCATGGCAATGGGAGGTAAGCAACTGGCCATTGGGAACACAGGGGAACAGGGGTGGAGTGGGGGAGGAGTATATTGGTTAGGCACCTCGAGAGTGCCAGGCACAGGATCTTCTCACCAGAATCTATGGGGGAAAGATCTCTATGATCTCCATGTTATAAATGGGGAAACCAAGGCTGACAGGAGTGAAGTCACCTGTCCAAGATCATGCAGACATGCCTTCAAACCTAGGCATGGCTGACTCCAAAGCCCATCCTCTTTCTACCTCATCACAGTCCCAGGGTTCAGAAGGTGCAGAGACTAGAAACTAGTGTTGTAATCCTCCTTTCCTTTCAAAATTTCAAAGTGAGGGCAACTCTCAAGTCAATGAAGCCCAGAGCCAGAGTAGTTGGGGAGCAGGAAGGTGGGGGTTGGAGGATGCCTTGGCCAGACAGACAGGGCCAATTGCTGCAGTATAGCCAGTGGGACTTCTAACCCACACCTTCAGCTGTGGTCATGTAGGCCAAGGACAGAAGTGAGCCAAAGACTTTGGTCCAAGGACCCCACCAATCCTGCAGAGCAGATGAGCCCCCTCCCCAAGTCCCATAAGATCTGACTAAGCCTCATTCAGTGCTGGTTTCTGCTCCCAGGCTGGTACCCACCCCGGGGCATGGCATCTGGTCTGGTGAGTAGGTAGCAGTACCCTTGTTAAATCCCCTGCGTCAGGGCCATGAGGCCAGCTGTGTCAGCCAGCCAGAGGCTGTTGTCTCTTTCTCAGGTGTGACTACAGCCAGTTTGGCAGGCAGTCCCCAGATACTGCCACACCCAAGGACTTCAGGGCAGCTTGGAGCCTCCTGAATCATACTTACCAGCCATAGGGGGGCAGTGACTGCACCCTCCTTTCTCTTGTGCCAAGGCCCTCCCCAGAACCACTCTTCTCCAGGGCTGCTGCTGAGACCTACAGGGAGACTGATAGGCGCTATCAGCCAGCAGGCTTACAAAATATATCCAGAGCTGCCTCACGCAGACCCTTTGGCTGCAGCTGGTGAGATCAGATTGTCTAGTTCAATCCTGAGCCAAGAGAAGGCAAAGGACTTCTCCAAGTTCACACAGCCAATAAGTGGCTAAGCTTAATTAGAACTGAGCCTCCAAGAGCTACAGGCAGGGGGGCCTCCTACAGGAAGGTGGGTCCCTTTAGACCAGGTACAAGCAAGAACAGCATCTCTAGTTGCACAGATTGCTGCTGTAGGTGAAGCCTTGTGGGAATGGAGAGGGAGTAAGGTTCCAAGTCTTGAGCCATGGGAAAACTCAACACTGGTGAGAAGCCCAAAAAGCATCAGCCAGCTCCACCCTCCCTTCCCCCTCCCACCCCCACACACATCCCAACAGCTTTTGAAGCTGCCAGCTGGGAATTCCTGCCAGGAGAGACTTTCTTCCCCATGGAGGTAGCTCTATGGACCAGGTGAAGCCACCTGTTCCCTTCAGATTTTGTAATCATTAAGGGTGTTGGAGAGCAGTTCAATCCATCTCCATTGAATGGATGGGAACACTGAGCCCAGTGAAGGGAACTGACAACAGTCCAGGCCCTAAACCCAAATGTCCAACCTCCCAGTTGAGCTCTGAAATCTTTGCCACCCTCTCCCCACCATAGCTGACAGCTCCCTGTTCTGAGATATCTCTGACTCTAGTCTACAAGGACAGTACACTACTGTCACATTGTAAAGTGAGCTGCTGTTGACCCGTTGTCTCCCCCACCTGGCTGGGAGCACACGAAGTCACAGAGGCTGGGTTCTAGTCACATCTGTGCCCCTAGTGTCCCGAACAGGCTTGGCACAGAGCTCTAGTAAAGGCATTGTGGACCATACTGACAAGGGCAAGGACTTCCCTTCCAGAGCACCCCTTGTGCCTGCATAGAGAGCTACCACACTGGCTCCACTTTCCCCTCCCCCCATGCCTGGGGCCACAGTCCTGGAGGTGCAGCAGCTGGGGTCCCGGGGTTGACATGGATGTCCTGGGGAGAAAAGCCTCTAGTGGTTTCCTAATCTCCCAGATGACATGGGGCAGAGCAGCTGAGGAATGCCTCAGAGAGCACCACTGAGGCTGTGGGTGAGTCAGCGCAGGAGAATCTGCCCCCACCCCCTTGTGGCGGCAGGCCGTTCCTAGTTCCTTGGGAGGGAGGGTGAGGTAATCCCCCAGCAAGCACCCTTCCCCCTCTGCTGGAAGCTAAGGTAGCAGGAGGCAGGGGAATGGCCTGCTTCACCTATCTTGTAGAGCTGCCTCCCCAGATTGAAAGTCCATTGGCTGGCAGGAATACAAAGGAATCGCTGGATTTTCTGGTTTCTTCTATCAAGTGACTCCCCTTAGACCTAGAAGTTCAGCTTGGGAACTGGGCTAAGGAAGGGATGGGAAAACCTTGAACCTGTAGCAACCTGCTCAGTGAAGACCCAAGATCTCCTGGGTTTGATTTTCACCTCATTAGGTAATCTTAGGAAGCTCACTGCCCCTTTTGAGGCCTCAGCTTCCTTAGCTATAAAATGGGTACAATAATTACCATACTCTGAACAGCATATGGGCTATACAGATGAAAGAGCAGTTTGGGGGTCGTTGAGAAGTCAGGTAAAGGGAAGAGTTGGAGTCTGAAGGAGGGAGGAGCTTCCAGAATTCTCTTCTCCCGGCTGTCAGAGAGATGGGGCTTAGGGCCCGAGACCTGGAGGCCTTCATTTCCAATCTTGGAGAGGGGGAGAAACATCTAAACTAGACAATGTTGCCTTCAGGAATGGGGTACAAAGTACGGCCTGGTGTTTTATTAATCTCCTGTCACAACTCCAGCTGAGTGGGAGGGAGTCGCTGCAGGGATTTCTGGGCTTTTCCACCTAGGCAGGGGTTCTTGAGCCAAGGGTTGTGGAAGCACAAGAACAGAGTCTGGCCCTAGAACCCTGGACAGGGAAGGTGGGATGAGGTTCAGGACACCAGGTTGGGGAGGAAAAGCTATTTTGGACCCAAGCATGCGCACTTACCCACCCGGGGCTGCCTGGCATCTTTCGTCCTTGCAGGCGGGGCTGTTCTCCCCTCGACTCCCCTCTGAGTCCCTCCCCATTCTTTTCTCTTCCCCAAGCCAGGGACTGGGCGAGTGGTCAGCGGGGGAATCAGGGCTCCCTAGGGGAAGCAGCCATGTGGGGAAGGATTATTAGGCATAGGGGGAAGAGGTCTGATCTGCCATAAATGCGCGGTGCAATTGTTACAGCCCCTGCCCCTGTTCCTCAGTTTCCCTAGCTGTCCATCTAATCGAACAGCCTCCGGGTGCCTTCCAGCCACGAAAGCCTCAGGGTAGAGTCCCCACCCCCGGCCCAGCGCGCTCTCACCTGCACGACCTGCCTGGGCTGCACGCTCAGCGTGGGGAAGTTGCCGCGCCCGTGAATGGGAATCGGCTCTCTCAGGAGCGCGTCCAGCCGCTTCCCCTGTGGCCAGCTCAGCCTGCTCAGGTGCCGTCCGGAGGAAGCCGACGAGGCCTCCGGGTCGGGGCCGCCGCCTGCCGGGGCGGCCGTGGCCACCGCCGAGGCCGCAGCCGTCCGCACCTGCGCAGCCGCCGGGTCCCGGCGCTCAGCTCCGCTCTCCGACGGCATCATTCGCCCGGCCCCGGGGCCCCGACGGCAGAAACCGGGGGGTGGTGAAGGGGATGAGGGCAGGGAGAGCGGCTGGGACCGGGCCAAGGCGGGAGCGCGGATGCAGGGACGGGGCGGCAGCGACGGCGAGGCAAACCCAAGGCACACTCCGACGGCGACGACCAACCGACCCCAGAGCCTGTCGCCCAGGGCCCAGCAGACTCTTATAGGCCGCGGGCGACATGCCCATTGGTCCGGGCAGCTGTCACACAGCGGGAGCCGCCCCGCCTCTCGACGCCCCTGCCATTGGTCAGCGGAGCTTTGCACGTGAGTCACTGCTCTCTAGGGAGATTCCGATTGGCTGGAGGGCACGCCCCTGCCCCTCCCTCCTTCTCCCACTGAATTCCCTCCTTTGGTCCTTAAAAAACTTTCGTTCACTGTGATTGGCCCGGGAGGGCTTGGACTTAAAGGGACAGCGCCCTCCAGGGGCAGGTGGGAGGGAAGAGATCTGTGTGGAGTTTGTAGCGGAGTCAGACCATTAAGAAATTCCAATTTTTTCTTTTCTTTTTTGGGGGTTGGTGCTGGAAGAAATTGCGAAAGCAACTGGCACATCGCTATTTTCAGAAGCCCAATGAGATCACGCCACGTGTTCAACTTGACACAGCGATCCTCCTGCTCTGGCCGTCTTCGAGGAAAGATAACACGCCGTGTACACCTGTATACCGAGGTCGATGCTTTCCAAAGCGCTCTCTTGATTGACCCTTGCAAACCACAGCACTGCCAGCGTCCATGTACCACTGTAGGAAAGGGGAAATCTGCTCAGAGACGGGGTGTGATTCCCCCAGTGTCACACAGCAAGCCAGTCCGGGCCCTTGTCCTGAAGCAGGGCTGTAGAGTCTGTGGAGCATGTTTTGCCCACTGCACCTGCGGGGACCTAGGGCCTTTCTGGGGCTGAAGGATAGATAGCATGTTTACATGTTTTTCTCTTCCACTTTACAGAGCCTAGAAGATGAAGCTTATTGTTATCGTTATTTTTAAATTAATCTCTTTTTCCTGATTTTAAATATATGTGCTATGGCAAAAATTCTGAAGTTGAGTCTATCTGATTCATCGCCACAATATGTTTTTCTTAAACATCATTCTCTTAACAATATATCAAATTAAATATCATTCTCCTAACATTTTCTCATTCTCCTTTAAGGCAGACTGGGTATTATGCCCAACTTACAGGAGAAACTGAGACTTAGAAACTACATCCGAGGTCACTAGCTTGACTCTGACAGACCTTGGACTAGAACCCAGGATCCTGACCCTCAGACTAGAGCAGCCACTTCCTCTCTGGGGGCCATCTCAGGCAAGATGCTGTTCCTGTCCCCTCCCTCCATTTTGGTGGGATCAGGGGCTTCATCTGGCCCTTTGGGAGGGGACCCACTGCTTACTCCACTGCTTGGTCTTGTGATCTTGGGCAGGTCCATTCCATTGTCTTCAGAGCAGTGGTGTCCTATTTTGTTTTACCTTCTCTTGAAAGATAAGGAAAAAATAAAAAATCTCCTTTGGCTGAGTCTACAATCTCCAAACCCTTGACCTACAAGGTCTCCCTGAGGCTTCTGATGAAAGAGCTTGAGGTTCAACTACATCACTGTCTTCTATGCCCACCTCCAGCAGAGGAAGGAAAAAACAATTAACATTTACTGAATACCTACTCTGCTTCAGATCACTTTACATATTTATGTGACCTCTAATTTCTAAAAATACACCTCAACCAAGGTCAAGATTTCAAAAAAGAAAGAAAAAAATATATATCTCAAAATGTGGGATCATCACCCCCAATTTACAGATGAAGAAACTGTCAAGTGATATGCCCAAGGTCATACAACCACTAAATGGCAATATGGGACTCAATCCAGGTCTCCTGACTCAAGTCCTATTTTTTAACCGCTCCTGTTAGAAGAGTTTACACAGATCAGTCATGCTTGGCACAGCCCTGGCACCACCCACAAGATCTGTCATTTATTCATTCATCAGCCAACGTCTATATACTGAGCACCTTTCAGGAGCTGGGCTAGGCCCTGAGATATGGTAGGAAAGGTCTCTGCTCTTCTAGAACTTTCTAACGTAGAAAGACAATAGTCAAGTAAACAAATAAGACATTTCAGATATTGGTAAGAAAATAAAACAGGGTCACGAGAGAGAGAGAACAATGCGTACGTGTGAGTGTGAGAGAGATACAGCCAGAGTCAAGGGATTGGACCCCTGTACCTGCCAGCTGACAAAAAAAAAAAAAAGAGAGAGAGATACAGCCAGAGAGAGAAAAAGAGCTAGAGATAGCAATGTACATCCTTAGAGGTGTGATCACGGAGTGCCTCTCTAGTGAGGTGACATTTCCACTGGGTCTGCTGGATCCACTTCTGTCCCATCTCCCCATGCTTGTCCCTGGACAGCCAGGGCAGCAGAGAAGTTACCAGGCCACATATTCCCAGAACCCTGAAGGCCTGAGCAGGAGGGCTCTTGGCAATCGTTTTGTTCACCTTCTTCTCGCTTTATAGATTGGGAAACTGGAGTACAGAAAGCAGGAGGGACTTACCCCAGGGGGACTGGCTAGGGTGGAAACCATGCAGGGGGCCCACTGGTGCTGTGCCCGTCCCACATACTTGATCAAGTTTTCTAAGGAAGGAAACTCAGATCTCTTCTCTCTCCTTCTGTGTGGGCCAGGAAGAGAAATTAGCAAATTTGCTGTGAATCACCCTTTTGTTGACACTTCCAGTCTCAAAACTGATTGTTTCAATGTTTGCACAATTACAGGACCTGAACATGACTGTGATGGGGGTGGGGATGTCTTTGGGATGTAGGAAGCTGAGAAGAGAGCAGGGGTAAACCCAGTGGTGTCTTTTTTTTTTTTTTTTTTAAAGATGAGTATAACATCTACCCTTGTACAAATTTCCCATCCTTTTTTTTTTTTTTTTTTAAAAATGGGTAAAAAATTTACCCTTTTAAAAATTTCCCCTCCTTTTTTTTTTTTTTTTTAAAAGATGACCAGTAAGGGGATCTTAACCCTTGGCTTGGTGTTGTCAGCACCACGCTCAGCCAGTGAGCAAACCGGCCATCCCTATATAGGATCCGAACCCGTGGCCTTGGTGTTATCAGCACTGCACTCTCCCGAGTGAGCCACAGGCCGGCCCCTTCCCATCTTAATTATGACTCCATTTGACTTGATTTGATTTTTTAAAATTTTTTAATTTTTTTAAAAGATGACCGGCAAGGGGATCTTAACCCTTGGCTTGGTGTTGTCAGCACCACACTCAGCCACTGAGGGAACCAGCCATCCCTATACAGGATCCGAACCTATGGCCTTGGTGTTATCAGTACCACACTCTCCCGAGTGAGCCACGGGCTGGCCCCTTGACTCCATTTGATTTTAAAAGGGAACTTACTCTATGATAATTGAGTCTTAGTGATATAGGTAAATCACTTTCCCTATCTAGACCTCAGTTTCCTATTCTGTAAAATGGGACTGAAATAGGAGTCAGCCTCTTCCATTCCTACCTTCTATGATTTGAGGTGATAGGAAAGGAGAAGGGGTCCTGGGGAGAGTCTTGGTCCTTACACTGCCCCCTCCTCTGCTTTGGGACCCCAGACAAGAGCATTCTGGAACTGCTGTGTCTCTGTGTTATCAGCCCACGTTACTGAGCATCCTCTGTGCCTTGGAACTGCAGTAGATGCTTTCCACACCGTCTCTGATTACATTTTCAGAACATAATCTTATGACGCAGGAATGATCTCTCACTATGCAGCAGAAAAAACTAATGCTCAGAGAAGCTAAGTAATTTGTGCAGGGCCCCATAGTTGGAAAGAACTTCAAACCCAGGCCTGGCTAAACCCTAGGCCCATGTCCTACCCAAGCCCCTGCTTCTGAGGATGACTTAGTTCAATCAACACAGTGATCCTCCCCTATGGAGGAGCACCCCTCCCATCCTCCGACAGTTCTTGTCTGCACGTTACCTCAGGTCCTTATGGCTAAGGCCATGAACCTTGTTATTACAGATAATTCTATTCCTACCCTGTATAATCTCAACATCAAGCATCCCATCCTCCCAGCACCACCTCTCGTCTTTCCTGCTCCCTCTTAGTAGAACCCCAACTCCTGTAGTTCCTTGCCCCAACAGAGCATTCAATCCAGTGATCCTCCCACTTTTTTGTCACTGTTCCTTGCGTCCCTCATGTGCTGACTTTCCTCCTTAACCAGCTTAGATTCCATGGACCAGTGCAGTGCTATAATTGCTTCCTTGCATACACCCTCAACCCCCTTGCTCCTCTCATTATTGTATCCACCCGGCAAAACCACACCCTGGTTAATCCCACAGGCTGACTGAAGCTAGAGAAGACACAGCCCTACTGACAGGTCTCACTTGAACTTCATGGCAGCCATCCTCCAAGGGGTCCTCAGCGCTGTCTGGCAATGCCGCCATATGACCTGGTCTTGTAGGACTCTCTCCTATAAGGACAATGTCGTATCTTCCCCTCTCTTCTCAGTCCCCAGTAGCTCCTTTCCCATCCTTCTCTCAGCTGATGACCTTGCTTCCTACCTCATTAAGAAAACAGAAGCAATGAGAAGAGGATTTCCTTGGGCTCTCAGCACCTCCTCTACCCCTTCTCCTGGCTCTGCATCTCATTATCAGCCTCCGCTCCTGCTCCTGTGGTTGAACCCCGCTTGCTCCTCGCTGAGGCTACCTGTCTGTTTATAAGCCAGGTCTATCCATCTTCTTACCTGCACAAGGACTTCACTGCAGCGAGTTTTCCTCTCTTGTTGACTGGATCATTCCAATCAGCATTAAAACACCATTTCTTGGGTTTGGATCACTGTACCGGCCAGCCGGCAATCAATCAATCAATCAATCAATCTCAATCAATTTAAAAAGCATCATTTCTTGCAATCAAAACAACAAAAACAGCAACAAAAAACACAAGACCAAAAAACCTCTCTTGACCCCCTATCTCCCTCCTTTTTGACCCCATTTCTCTATGTAGCAAATGTTTCAACAGTGTCTACATTTGCTGCCTTTGGTTATTCTGTTCTCTCTTGAACACATTTCAGTCAGGCTTTTGTTCCCACCATTCCACCAAAGGTGTTTTTGTCAAGGTCACCAGTGATGTTCACATTGCTAATCTAATCAATTCTTTTTTTGGGGG